ATATGGGCCAAAATTTCATATTTATTTATAGAACATTCAATTCTTCAAATGCATTAAAAGTAGTACCTTTTCTCAGTTTTTTTTGTTAACTTTCTACCATACGTTGATGGTCCGATTAGATGGTAAAAATAATGTAGACGAGCTAAGTGTGGATTATGTGTGGATTGACGATGTTGGCATGGTATTGAGGTGATATTTGGGGTGGTATTGAAGTACAATACCACCTCAATATCACCTAAAACCACGAAGAAATACTGCGTCTGAACTGCCAACCATTGGCCGCCACATCACCCACCGATGAGGTGTATGATGATGCGGTGTCCAGTGGTTGGTCGTTTGGACGTGCGTTGTTCGGACATAATATTTTCTCCAATACCACAGTTCACACGTATGCTCGGTGTATGCAATATTAACTCCATCAGATGACCTTTCCCTATTGAGCTCTCATTGTGATTTTCTCACCAAAGAAGAAAAATATCGTCACAGCCTCATTGCCACTTTCTTCTCGTCTGTTCTCCACCAGTAAAGATTTTAAGATTTTGTGTTGATGCGAGCAAAAGACAAGAAATTAGGATTTAGGGATTTGCCTAAAGTTAATAGAGTGATAATTTATTAAATATGAAGTTTTAATTGTGATGTATATAAATAGGATAGTCTTAAATGTTGGAAAATTTTTAGTTAATGTAGCAAATTGAGAAGAATGCCAAAATGATCTTTTGATTCTTTCTAAAGGTGGGTCATTTTAGTTAAAAAGTTTATAAAAATGTCAATTTAGTCCACATATTTTCTTTAAAACGTTAAAAAAAAATTTAGCCTGATAGAATACATAATTGCATCATTAATTTGATATTTTATCTTACATTATATTGAATCCTGCTCTAATTGATGTAGACAGTAATGACAAAAATTTAAGTATTGAAGAAAATTTTGATGTGCTAATGAAATTGAACCAATGGATGATAGAATTGCTATATAAAATGACCCTTTTAAGTATGTCAGAAGTGAATAATAAGCCATTATGGATCTTGATCCTTATGACATTTAAATTTTGAGTGTTAATCTCCAACCTCGTTTCAATGTTTATAATAGATTAATATCGAATATTGAGATTTACTCTTTTTTTATGGTTTTTTTATTTATGATTACAAAAAAAATAAAGTCGGTTGTTATTTTTATATTTATAAATTATTCTTAATCTTATGATTTGTTTTTGAGGCCTATGCCTTGCCTCACTTGGGCAAAATATTTTAGTTTCTAATTTTACCTTTTAAAATCTTGTCCTAACACCGTTATATGTTTACATAATTTTATTCATACAAATCCATGGACACTCTTAGAAAAAGATGCTTCATTGGAAAAAAAGAATGGATACGGAATGTTTCAAACAGGAATACTGTAATTAACTGATTTTCATAACTAGTATTTCTTTTGATTAAAGAAAAAAAAATTTATCAAGAAAAGGTTATGAAACTTTGAAAAAGAAAATATACAATCTAAAATCCCAAAGAATGTAGAAACTACAAACAACTCCATGCTGTAAGCATCATTCACTCAACCTAAAATTATTTCAAACTAAGCTTTAAGATATTATAGTCATTTTGCCACGAGAAAAAAAGTGTACAATATTTTTCTATTTGTAATAATCAATACGACATACCCATAACACCTAAAATTCTTGAGAGTTTACTCAATAGATCTTCCTTCAACACTTTGTCAAATTAAATCCATTTCACTTTTACTATCAACTATGATCCTTCTCCAGCTTGGGGCTATTTTGCTACAAGAAAGTTTTAACAAATCTAAAATTTAGAATTAAAAGGTTCTCAGGGTATCAAATCTGAAAAACTGTTTGACATGATAAATATTAAATCTTGTAAAATCCTAGAAACATGTTTGGCGGATAATTTCAAAATTTAGAAATTAAATGAAGGTTAAAAAAAGGTTTTATGAGAAGTAGTGTAAATCAAATCCTACTTCCTATGGGATTTAGTAGGTTTAGGATTTATGCTAAAACTGGAGGAAAATAAGGTTCAAAAAGGTATTAAAATTTACGGTGCATAAAATTTTTTTTTGACAATTTATTTTGCTAAAAAATACTTGAACTACATCTCGTAGCAGTAACCATAAAGGGTTCTAACAACCACTCAAATAAATATGTGTTGACTTTTTTTAGATATTTTAGAGGTTATTTCAACCCGTATTAAGAAAATATGTGGACTACATTGACATTTTTATGTATTCTAAAATATCAAATTAATGATGCAATTATGTATTCTATCATACTAATTTTTTTTTTTTAACGTTTTGAAGTTTTAGCTTCACTTTGCATTCTTCTTTTAAATGATCGTAAAGTAGAAGTAGCTCCAAATTCAATACCTTTTTCATCATTAATACTATCTTCATTATCATCACTATTAAAGGTGATTCTTTCATTTTTAACTTCAAATCCTTTACTATTTTATTTTAGGTTATTTATTCAACATCAGATTGCATATCATCAACAATCAAAGGATTAATTATATTATCAAAATTCTTCTGTTTTTATAACTTGAAGTTTTGTCTTTTAATTTTTAAAAACATAACATAAGCTAACTTATTCTTTCATTCTGTAGCCACTCAATTTTTTTTCTTTGTATGCACTAGTTAAACCTTCTTTAATTACGTTCCCTTGCGAAAGTTGAATAAGCAAGAGTGAGAACCTTTATTAAAAATATTTGAAGTTCAGATATGTCATCTCAAATTTATAATCACAAATATTCTAGAATAGAATGAAAGGACAATTGTTAATATATATGAAAATTTGAAGCTCAAATTTAATTTTTAGCTATAAAATTATAAGTGAATGTGAATTTATTAGGAGAAGTTAGCTTGCAGCATTATTGGGTTGCTTAAAATCTAATTATTTCAGTCTTTAAATGAAATTTCAAGTTGATCATTTGCCTTAAAATTGTCAACACAAGGACAAGTCTATCCATGCAATCATAGAAACTAGCCTTAACATTCATATATATATGGAACTTCTTTTCAAAATAAAATTGGGGGATTGTGTAACATACATTAGCATGTGGTTGTTAATATAACTAACAATTCTACTTTTCTTCAATAATGTCTTATATAATAGAAATTATTGCTAAAAAGAAAACCACCTTCATTTCACTGATGACGGGCTTAAATAGAACCTCACAAGGTACAAAACATTTACAAATAAAACTCTAGACTTCATCTATTTACAAATAGGTTCCTATATCAGATACAAATCTCAACACTCCCTCTCAAGATGGGCAAAAGATATTCACTAAGCCCATCTTGTCACATAACCAAGAAAAGTCTAATGAGCTAAGTCCTTTGATGAGGCAGTCAACCACTTACTCTCCAGTGGCTACATGACATAGCTCAAGTAGTTCGTTATTCAGCTTTTCCTTGATGAAGAACCTATCAATTTCCACATGCTTGGTTCTATCATGTTGCACCGGGTTGTTAGCAATGCTGATTTGTTGCCACACCACAAAATCATTTGAGTTCCCCGATCCACTTTGAGTTCAACCAACAAGACTTTTAACCACATCATCCCAGCAACTCCTAATGTCATGGCCCTGCCTTCTGTCATTGCTGTTGATCTTGCTACAACTATCTGTTTCTTGCTCTTCCATGAGATCAAGTTGCCACCAACAAACATGCAGTATCTTAATGTGGATCGCATGTCATCAACACAACTTCCCGAGTTAGAATCACAAAAGCTCTTAATATCTACATGCCCATTTTTCTTGAATATCATCAATTTCCCCAGTGCACTCTTCAGGTACCTCAGAAGTTGATACATTGCATCCATATAACCCTTACTTGGATCATGCATGTAGCGGCTCACCACACTTATTGCAAAAAAATATTAGGTCTAGTGCGACACTGATAGATCAGACAACCCACCGGCCTCTGGTGTCTCTCACGATCAATTGATTCACCTGCCTCTATACTGAACTTGACTTTTTGATTATTTAGAGAGACTACAGGTTAGCACCCCTGCATATTTGTCTCCGTGAGAAGATCTAGTGCATACTTTCTCTGGGATAGGACTATCCCTTCAGGTCATGGGTCACTTCAATCCCAAGAAAGTATATGAGATGTCCCAGATCTTTTACCTCAAATTGCTTCCTTAATCTTCCCTTCAGTTGAGCAATATCTGTCTCACCATCACTATTGATAAGTATGTCATCCACATACATAAAAATTGTGGTAGTCTGATATTCATGGTGCAGAAAGAGCACCGTGTGATCTGTATTGATCTGTCGATATCTCATGTCAATCATCACTATTCTAAACTTGTCAAACTAAGCTCGAGAATACTGCTTCAAGCCATGCAGTGACTTCCTGAGCCCACAAACTTGCCCACTGTCTGAGATATATTGAATTCTATTGGTATCTCTAGATATATCTCCTCCAGTAGCTCCTTATGAAGAAAAACATTCTTCACATCCAGTTGGTGGAGTCTCCATCCACCATTCACTGGCAGCTATTCACTGTCAGAGAAGCCAGTGTCCCCACCGTACTCATATTTGCAACTATTGCAAATGTTTCATCGTAGTCAATATCATATGTATGATTGTATCTTTTTGCCATTAGTTGTACTTTGTACCTCTCTGCCTTTCTTTTTGGAGTTTGTTTTGCCGTGAAGATCTATTTTCATCTAATTGTCTTCTTCCTTGCTGTTAGTGGTACAATCTCTTATGTTCGGTTTTAATCAAGAGCTCCAATCTCTTCATGTAACGTCGTTTTCCACTTGGGATCCTCTTTATCACTCTGCCAACACTTGGGTATAGAGACGAAGTCCAATAATACAATGAATGCTCCATGCAAAAGTGAGATGTTAGAAGAAGAAATAAAGTTCGTAATGTCGAGTTCCCACCCAAAACAATCAAAAGGATGTTCCGCATTGCTGGGGGAGGTCTTTCTTAATGTTGGAGGGAAGGAGTAGATATGAAGAATAATATCACCAGAGAGTTTGAATCAATGATGGGTGGTATTAGTGTCTCAAGAGTTGGAAAAGACCGGGACAAGGGACTTATTGGCATTGCAGACTCTGTTCCCTCAATTTGCTTATTCCTCTGTGTATACACACCCTTAACTCACCTTTAGTCTGAATCCCACCACATCTGGGGTCAATCTCCTCAATTTTTGTCTTCTCAGTTGATTCACAGGGCTTGACATTACTCCGCTTGCATTACTCCGCGTGAGCCGCTTTATCACCAATATTACTCACTCTCTCTTACCTCATATCTCTAGTGTCATTTGAGTCACTAAAGGGTGCGAAGGGTGAATAGTGGAGTCTCCATCCACTATTCACTGCTAGAGAAGCCAGTGTCCCCACCGTACTCATATTTGCAACTATTGCAAATGTTTCATCGTAGTCAATACCATATGTCTGATTATACCTTTTTGTCATTAGTCGTATTTTGTACCTCTCTGCCTTTCTTTTTGGAGTTTATTTTGCCGTGAAGATCCATTTCATCTAATTGTCTTCTTCCTTGCTGTTAGTGGTACAATTTCCGATGTTCAGTTTCAATCAAGAGCTCCAATCTCTTCATGTAACGTTGTTTTCCACTTGGGATCTTCTTTATCACCCTGCCAACACTTGGGTATAGAGACGAAGTCCAATAATACAATGAATGCTCCATGCAAAAGTGAGATGTTAGAAGAAGAAATAAAGTTCCTAATGTCGAGTTCCCACCCAAAACGATCAAAAGGATGTTTGCATTGTAGGGGAGGTATTTCTTAATGTTTGAGGGAAGGAGTAGACAGGAAGAATAATATCACCTGAGAGTTTTGAATCAATGGTGGGTGGTATTAGTGTCTCGAGAGTTGGAAAAGACCGGGACAAGGGACTTATTGGCATTGCAGACTCTGTTCCCTCAATTTGTTTATTCCTTTGTGTATACACACCCTTAACTCATCTTTAGTCTGAACCCCACCACATCTGTGGTCAATCTCCTCAATTTTATTTTTCTGAGTTGATTCATAGGGCTTACTCCACTTGAACCACTTTATCACCAATATTACACACTCTCTCTTACCTCATATCTCTAGTGTCATTTGAGTCATTGAATGGTGAATTTACCTCCAGAGTGTAGTATATTCAAACTCTCTGAACGACACATCCATACTCACACAAACAATCTCTTTTCAATCTAGCTCCAACAGACATAACCCATTTGAATAATAGAATAACCCACAAACACACATTTCACAGCTTTGAAGCTAACTTCCCTGTAGAGGGTCTGTTGTCTTTCACAAAGCATATACATCCAAATGCCTTTAATGAAATGATCCCGCGATTGTCTCCTTTCAAAATTTGACAAGGAGGCTTCTACTCCAACACTCTTGAGGGCATCCTGTTAATCAATTGATCGACTGTCAACACTTTTTGCCCCCATAAGTGTTGTGGGATATTCATTGCCATCATCATGTTCCGAGCTATCTCTAAAAGATGCCGATTTTTTCTCTTTGCTATTCCATTCTGTGCTGGTATGTATGACCATGTGGTTTGATTTTGTATTATTTAAGCTGATAGGTAGTCCCCAAATGCTTTGTTGATATATTCTGTCTCATTATCTGATTCAGTGCCTTCACAAATGCACCATATTGGGTCTAGATTGCCTTGTGGAAATCTTTAAAGCAAGCAACCACCTCACTTTTCTGTTTCATCAAGTATATCCAGGTAATTCGAGAAAAGCAATCAATAAATGTAACAAAATACTGATAATCATTCATAGAACTAGGGCAATTTTCTCATAGATCATAGTGTGTCAAATCAAACTCACAAGCTTCACACATATGTTTCTCCTTATTTGTCTTTTCATACATAAATGGATACAACTGATTCAGTAAACTAAGACTAGAATGTCCCATAAGTCTGTGATGTAGCATTAACATATCCTCGAAGTTCCTCCCAAATTCTCGTACTGCAGTTCTTTCCACCATGGATGCTAGAGCTGAGTTCATCCCCTCTTGGTCCAAGCACCATAGTCCGCTATGCAACGTTCCAGCCCCAAGTGTCTCGTCCGTCCCTTTCTCTTGGAAAATCACTTGAGGAATATTAAAAGAAACAATGCATTTTAACTGGAGTATAATGACATTAATGGATAAGATGTTTACTAAAAAGTAAGGAGCATGCAAAACATTAGACAAAGTCATATGATTGATACGTTTCACTGTACCCTTACCGACTACATGTTGCGTTGTACCATCAGTAGTCTGTATGCTCTCTAATATTGCTAGATGAGTATATGATGAGAACTCTCCAACAGTACCTATTACATAATGAGAATCTCCAGAATGTATGATCCATGCTGATGATTCTGTGGTGAATATGGATGTAAAAGAAAGTGTGTCACCAGTACCTTTGTTGAAGCGAGCATAAGTGGCAATGTTACCCCTTGATTTCGATGGATTTGAAACATTCTTAGCTTCAGCTTCAGCTCTTGCTGCCTTCTGCTTTCTCTTCAACAACTCTAGACACTCATGATTCTCATTGGTAAAGATCACACCTGTCTCTCCCTCGTTCTTTACTACCGTTAGATTTGCCCGATATTTAGATTCGACTTATATTAAAGGTAGAGGTAGATCTAAAAAGATGGGCATATTGTATAAAAATTGATCTTAATCTATTAGAATTAAATGAAAATATGACACTCAATTGGACACAATGGAGAAAATGATTGATGTAGCCGACCCCACATAGTGGGATAAGGGCTTGTTATTGTTGTTGAAACTCTACACCTTCGAGTAGTTATAATTAAACTTGCTCACCTTTTGTTTTAGTAAACCATATTTATATTGTAGCAACTATCCCAGTTTTTTAAATATTAAATCAAGATAATGAACAACATGTAGATTTCAATAAAATGTTACTTTCTCTATATTAATATTCTCCTTACAATTTTGTAGGCACTTGTATTGTATGTAATTGAAGAAATATGGTTGATTACTTTGTTAGAAAGTTCTTTTCCTTTATTCATGAGTTGGGCTTCTATAGAGCTTTACAAACATTTTACAAATAACACCTAGACTTTTATATTTTCTATCTACAATTATACCCCTCAAAATAAGATATAAATCTCAACACTCCCCCTTAAGATGGGCAAAAGATATCCACTAAGCCCATCTTGTCACATAATCTAGACAAATCTAATGAACCAAGTTCTTTAGTGAGTTGAACTAAGTCTTTTAGTGAGGCAGTCAACCACTTGCTCTCAAGTGGATACATGACTTAGCTTCAGTAGCTCAGTATTTGACTTTTTCTTGATGAAGAATCTATCAATCTCCACATGTTTGGTTCTATCGTGTTGAATTGGGTTGTAGGCAATGTTGATTGCTGATTTGTTGTCACACCACAACTTTATTTGAGTTCCTTGATCCACCTTGAGCTCGACCAACAAGGCTCTTAGCCACATTATCTCGGCAACTCCTAAGGCCATGGCCTTGTACTCTGCCTCTGTAGTTGACCTTGCTACTATAGATTGTTTCTTGCTCTTCCAAGAGACCAAGTTGCCACCTACGAACATGTAGTATTCTGACGTGAATCTTCTGTCATCAACACAACTGGTTCAGTCAACATCACAATACTCTTCAATGTCTATGTGCTCGTTCTTCTTGACGATCAACCCCTTCTCTGGTGCACTTTTCAGGTACCTCAGAATCTGATACACAACATACATATGATTCTTCTTTGGATCATGCATATAGTGGCTCGCCACACTCACTACAAATGAGATGTTAAGACGAGTGTGACACAGATAAATTAGACGACCTACTAATCTCTGGTATCTCTCACGATTAACTGGTTCTCCTTCAGCTGCACTC